CAGGTCAAAGGTTGACCATTAGTGCTTTGTGTTGAATTAAAGAAGTGCGAATTAAGTGAGCCAAAGAGAAGGCTGTGATTTGTGAATAATTAAGTCATTTAATTATCGTTTATTGTGTGATCCTACAGGTCTGGTATTTATCTCTTTCAACATCAAGTTGTAAAGAGAAGAGAATCTAGCGCTTTTAATAAAGACTAGATAGTGGCAGCTTACTGTTTTGTGAATGCATTGACTTGATTTTGGTGGCAAAGCGATGCAAGCACACCCCCCCCCCCCTTTTTTTCTCTCTCTCTCTCTCACTGGGGAATTACAACACCACCACCCCTCTTCCTCTTTACCCCCCTTCTTCCTCCCATATTCCTTCTTCCTTCCTCTATTGTATTTATATAATATGGACTGGCCTTGAGGGAGATATATACCACATAATATTTCCCAAACTAGACTCATATTGCCCCGAGTCAAAGACGAGGGCAATATGGGTCTTGTGAGGGAAATATATGTGGTATCTCCCGAAAGTTAAGCCAGTCAATATTGTTATTATTATCTAAATCAGACATCTAGAGCAAATAATACATGACAATATCATAGAACTGAACAAACTTTGTCAAACCTGGGGCGGTATTCTGAACCCTGTGTTATCTCTAATATTGTTGTATCTCTGGAGATAAGATAAAGTTGGTATTCTGAACACTGTTGTAACTTTTGTTTTATCTTTTGTTGTATCTTTTCTCTCATCTGTTTGGTCGCGCCTGCGTTCAAACTTTTGTGCGCTTGCGATTGTGCTTATTAGTAATAAAATGGCGCTTAATCCTCATTTGCATTTGCGCATGAGTTAATATGACAAGATAATTGGTATTCTGATTGTTGTATCTTTTATCTTATCGTATCTTGCATGGTATTTACAACAATATTTACAACAGGTAGGGGGTTGTTGTATCTTTCGCGGTGATATAATTGGGGCAAAGTTTCTTGCCCAGAACCAACTTCGTGCCAATAGACGAGTTAGGAGAAGATTGCGTGTTGACCGGAAACATCACAGATGAGAACTTTCTAAGAAATTTCATGCCAGGATATGACGATTTTAATGCTCTCATCTTAAGCAATATAGTGAAGGCGTGATTTGTCTTCATGGTCCACATGCCATAGCGCATATGATGACGCGCGTAATAAGCGCTCAAATAACTAATTACGCCCAAGATTAGTATGCGCTAGGCGCATCTTCAGATATGGCATGAAGTATTCCTATTGGTTGACCTTCTTATCATGCTTATATAAAACAGATTTTGATTGGTAGGGACCATACAAATGGGCGTGTCAACAGTGTTAAAAGATAAGATAAAGGTGGTCCTTCAAGAGATAACACAGGGATAAAATGATGTTCAGAATACCAACTTACAACAATATTAGCGCTGTGTTATCTCTGGAAGATACAACAAAAGATAACACAAAACTTACAACAATGTTTAGAATACCGCCCCAGCACTGTGCATCCAGCTGCTTGACAAATTTTTCGATACACTGCAAACAGTGTACCCAATTTATAGTATTAATAACTGCTTTGAGAGAAATAGTATAGTATTAATGACTGCTTTGAGAGAAATAGTTGTTTTATTACGCTCAAGGGAAGGTTAGAATTGTGCTATTCCCCGAGGCTTGCCGAGGGGAATAACCCAATTGTAACCTTTCCGAGAGCGTATGAAAACAACTATTTCTCGAATATTAAAGCAGTCATTAATACTTTTATATGCCGAAAAAAAATAGACTAAAAAATAAAAAATAAAAAATAATTTACATTTTTGTCGAAGACGGGATTCGAATTCTTGCGTACAACAAGAGGTGTATCGAAAACCAACGCTTAGACCACTCGGCTATCGCGCGCCGTTAACATGCTTGGCAGTTTTCTCCAATATATACATTAAAATGGATTGAAAACGGCTCCGCGTGAGGGATGCTTCGCAAAAGCTCCATGAAACGGACCCTTCTTTTACTTTTGCAATGCATATTGGCACGAACTTAGATCAAGATCTATCGGCAGATGTTGTTTTTTTGTTTTTGAGAGTTAATTTTCGTCTTCATGTCAACAATGCAAGATAAAATTGTCGGTAAGATCGATCGAAATTCAATTGTATTGAAATTGCCGACCAATTTTTCGCACACGTATGGTATCCTCCATCGCTCAAACCATTTTTTAACATGTAAACCTATGGGGTAACCATGGAGACTGACCTATTTTTTTAATAACCATGGTTATTAAAAATATTGAAATGTTTTAAGCATGGTTACCGGGAATTTTACAGGAACAGTTGAAGTTTATGAATGCAATTCGACCAATCAGATGGCTGGATTACTTAAGTGAGGTATATAATTGTTTTTATACGCTCAAGGGAGATTAGAATTGTGCTATTGCCCGAGGCGTGCCGAGGGTAATAGCCCAATTGTAACCTTCCCGAGAGCGTATAAAAATAACTATTTCTCGAATATTAAAGCAGTCATTAATACTTTTATATGCCGAAAACAAAAGAGTCAACTAATGACACCACCTTGGCCTTTCTCTAGTTTATCTACACAGTTGTTTTTTATGAGTGGACTAGATCTAGATTCTAGTCTAAGCAAGATATTTTTACAATTTTTGGGGTGGGCCGGCCCTGTGGGTAATTTGGAGAAGAACCTGTGCTTTCATATGACACCTCACTTATTGAGTATCACCTTCAGGATCACAACAGATAAAGGTTTGAATCTCGAATTGAAAAAAAAAACTTGACTTTTTTGCATGGTCGCGCAATGCACGTAGACTGCATAGAGACTGCATTGCGTGCAAATTCTATGAGAAGAATTTTAACACACAACATCGGGTGCGCGATCAGACACCCTGACAACTAGATCTATTTTCGTCTAGAGTCTCCGTCTATGCTTTTTCAGCAACTAAACGAACATGTTTATGGATAATTTCACGTACCCTTTTTGTTGTTCTTGCTGTCAACGGATCTTGCATTTGATAAGTTGAAATCTTGGGAGAGTTTCTTGAGCCATTTTTGTCTTGTTTGGAATTGTCTTGTCTTGTATGAAAATACCGACCAATTCTTCGCACACGTACGGTATTCTCAATCGCTCAAACCATTTTTTAACATGTAAACCTATGGGGTAACCATGGAGACTGAACTATTTTCCCGGTAACCATGGTTACTGGGATTTTAGAACTGTTTTAACCATGGTTACTGGGAATTTTACAGAAATAGTTAAAGTTTATGAATGCAATTTTGACCAATCAGATGGCTGGATTTCTTAAGTGAGGTATATATAAGGTCTTTTATACAACACCTACGTGGATCCTTGTCATTTGATTGGAAGATTGTTGGTCACATGATATTCAATAGATGGTATATTGCACGAGCGTGCATTTTTGGTTATATGCAGACTGTGTACCTCTCTGCCGTGCGCGTATCCCTGCGTGTATCTGATGCGAAGGCAATCTGAATGTAATCGAGAAGGCTTGACTCCAACTTTAATTTATCTTTAATATATGGAATAAAGCATAATTTTGTTGATTAACGTTCTGTTAGATCTTCTTCGATGTTGTATAACACAAATTATGAATGTTTTTCATTCGTTTAATAGTGCGAATATTTTCATTCGTAGAAAGATTAACGTTAATTCTGTGGCGTAACCGGGCTCTGCCGGGGTAGCGTTCTGCCTTGCAGTCTCTCAAAACCCGGTCCACGCTCTCGACAATCATTCAACTCTCTGTGGGCTCTCACAAAAGTATATCGTGTAAGAATTAACGTGGACAGCTCTCATTTTACTCACTCCCGCAATCACTGAATGTCTGACAGGACTAAAGAAACAACACTTGCTCAGTATATCTGCAATTCAAGTAACTTTACTCGTTCCTGGTAACGGATCGACCTGTCGCAACGACAGGTCAACACCAAACTGACTGACATCTCACGATGTACACATATATATTTCACAATTAACTATAACGCCCTCTATGTCTCACTAAATTACTGGACTAGTTATGCTACAATTCTATTCAACCCGGCTGACGCCTCGTTGAATAGAATGTTAATCTTTCAACTCATGAAAATATTCGCACTATTGAACTCATAACCATTCATTATTTGTATAATATTTCATGCTTTTTTAACACGTAAAGTCCATAGGCTTTTTCATGAAAGGTAAATATGGTCTCATATTCCCCGATTAGCCCTTTTAGGATTACAAACGAGTGTAATATGATTTTGTAAAACCACTGCTCAGATGTCTGATACGGGTAATAATATCTATTATATTCCACATACTAAGAATCTTGCACTACGATTGGTCAAAAGTAAATCACGTGATGAAAGATAGATCGCCCATTATTGATGGGAGAAGCAAAAATTTCGTTACACTGTGTAGATAGTACTACTATCTTTACAGTGCAACGCACTTTCACTGAAGATAGAGGTACTATCTACAAAGGGCAATGCACTTTCACTAAAGATTATCCAAAAGCGCACTAAAACAGGCGTAATTAAGCGCGCATTACCAATGAGCGCAATTAAAACAAACACATGCGCGCACCGTACCCTCAAGGGGTTGGATTAAATCACTGTTTAACTTTTTTTTGTATGAATTTGGGCATGGTGTCTTTTATGTAGATGCATACACGTCCTTTTCTTTTTGTAGTTAAATTGTTTTAGATGTGGAATATAAAGCAAATAATCACCTTTTGGTTTCAGGCGATGGCAAACTATCACTTCCTCGTCGATCAGAATGTATACGCTATCTTTCCCTCAGCTTCGCTTCGGAAAGATAGCTATACATCCAGATCGCCTCGGAAGTGATAGTTTGTCCCATCACCTTCACCAACGGTAGTTATTTGCTTATTAACCACCCCCAACCCCCCCCCCCCCCCTATACCGCCACAGTATATACCGTATCTCTATGTAACGTAAGTTCTTTTTCCATAAACGCCCTCTATCTTTACATTCTTGTCATGAACTCGTGTTATACACACACACGTCGTACACACGTAAATACCCCGGTACGATCGAACGCGAACGAAGGGTTGCTGGAATAATATTTTTAATTTTAGACATGTTTTTAAATATTTCCAGCTGAAATCATGTGTGGTTCAGTGTCACGTCTACAGCTTACTCTTGCTGTCATGAAACCAGATGTAGTAGCGCATCCATACAGATTCAGGGTGAGTATATTTATGAAAAATAATACCTAAATTGATCATCCATCTCCAGCTACTTACTCGAGTAGAACGTTCAGCCATGGACAGCGGGAGAGTTCAGGGGGCGCTTGGGTGGGTTAACCACTCTCCTTCTGCAGAGCTGCTAGTGCTAGAGGTAGCTGCTGCATGCAGCTTCAGTTGAGTTACATCGACGAGATATTATTACCTTTAGGCTTTACCTTTACCCGAGATTCTGGGAGTATGCTATGTTCTCATCAGTCAGGCTTCCACCGGTTCAAGTGGGGGAAAAAAAAAATCATGTTTTTGACCAGTTAACATGGTTAATGAGCTGAATGAGTTAAGCTATTCTAGACGTGAATGAAGATCAAGAATAACAAGACTCGGCTTTCACTTATTTTTGTCACTTTTAATGTTTAGTTTTAGAAATGATCATGTCTTACTTGTTAACTCAGACATTAGTGAGATGGGAGGGAAAGAAAGTGGGATGAAATTAAATGTGTCAGACTGAGAGAAAGGGGGAGGGAGATATATTGAGGTTGCTTATCAGGAGGAGAATGAAGAAGAGACGACAGAGATCGAGAGAGGGTGGGGAGGGGGGAGATCAGAGAGAGAGAGAGAGAGAGAGACATGTCTATGTCCATGTATGGGGGGGGGGGTGAGAGAGAGACATGTACATCATGGGGGAGAGGAGAGAGAGACAGAAATGATGGTCTATCTAAACAAAACACTTCTTACATGTCTTATGAACAATAGTGTACACTTTTACATTGGAACAGATTCAAAAATCAAATGCATAGATTAGATCTGGTATTCTAGAAGAACAGTTGTATTAAAAGGAGTTTTAAAAAGAAATGATCATTTGACACCATCACAATGAGGTTAATCACAATGAGGTTAATTACAGTCATGACATTGAAACAATCAAACAAAGTTGGGTCGAGTCTGGAAAATGAAAATCATATCAGAGAAAGAGTTAATGGGGAAAATATTTTGCCTTCTGAAAGCAAATTATTATGAATGAAAAATGTCCTCTTTGATGATTGTGTATTTTATCTGGTTGTATAACAAATTATAAAGACTATAGTGTAATGCAGATTATACTGAACAATGATGTTCTTGTGGTATGCTCTAAGAAGTTAAATGGGTCTTAATTAGATGGAGCAAAATTCGAATTAAATTGACTGAAAATTCACTGTATACACCCTCACTATGAATATGATGGACAAAGAAAGAGGACAAAATATACAGTTCCTCATTCTACCCTCAACAATTGCTGTGGTAGACAAAGGAACATCCCTTCACTGCTATGATGTAAAAATGTGTAGAACAGGTGTCACATGCATATTCACCTGTTCTACACATTTTTACATACCAGGTAATAGCAGTGAAGGGATGTTCCTTTGTCTACCACAGCAATTGTTGAGGGTAGAATGAGGAACTGTAAATTTTGTCCTCTTTCTTTGTCCGTCATGTTCATAGTGCCTGTATGTAGTACTTACTCTAAAAAAAATATATATATCTTTTTTACACAGACTATAAAGCAGATTATCCTTGAGAATGGTTTTCTTGTGGTGTGCTCCAAGAAGCTACAGTGGTCCAAATCAGATGCAGCAAGATTCTACGCTGAACATGAAGGTATGACATTTTAAGCATATTGTCTCGGGGCTTTAAAAAAATACTTTAAAAGTTTTGGGTGCTACTTTTCAAGCTTGCTTGCATGAAAATAACACTCTTTAATTTGCTTTGCATTGAACTCTACGCAAAATTTTTGGGCTCTTTTATGACTTTCGGGGGCTCTTTTTGGCATTTCGGGGCTAATTTGCCCCGATCCCCCGTGTATCTTCTTTTTTCACTGATGTGCCCAAATGACGTACATTTTCAACCTCTTCTGTGCCAGCAGAATAAGCCAGTTTGTAGTTGCGGTCTGAGCATGAGCAAATAAAGGTCATTGCAGACCAAATGGTGAAATACTCAGAGACAAAATACTGGATAAGTGCCCATGAAAGTTATGTAATCATTATTCATTTACGCACAACCAGTGCACTCCAGGATAGACTCAAACAAAGGCTATTCATGTAGCACCTCTATCGCTGTAGGAGTGATTATTTCAAAATGTACAAAATGTACAAAGTGGGACCTCTTCATGTTTTGAAGATCTGTGGATATTCGGGGTCATTTGGGACATTGTGAAAATGATCAGAAATGAACATTCAAGAATCTAATTTGGGGTCTTCAATCCTTGTTCGATAGTTGAATTTGTCTCGATTATTTCTAAGAATTCAGGTAATCCCATTCATTTGACTTTTGGCTGACCTTTACCCTCTCAGGACAGGATGTATTCTGAGGACATATTGTTCTTCAAATTGGCAAAACAAAAATGATTGCTACATTTTTGTAAGGAAATGTAATGTCTCTCAAAAACAAATACATGTTCAAGTACATGGGTAGGAACTTACCGGTACTAGACGATTTGGACAAAAATGGCAAATTTTGATTAACAAATTCTGACTTTGAACCTTGTAACATGTTGAAAATTTAAGGATTTTAATGATTATTTCCTTCCTAAAATTCCTAGCATCTAATGCAGGGTGATGGAACAATAGGGAAGGAGTCTCTTCAGAATGTTTGCCCTTTCTTCGCATATATTGTATCTTGTATATAATATGTTATGACTCTGAATCTAAAGTTATTGAGCTAAACCACTAAACAGAGTACCGGTATTTAAAGGTGCTACTTGTATACTAGCAGAAATAAAGAACAAGGTGTGCTTAATTTCTATAGAGGTTAAATCCTTCTTTTGCCACCTTGCACAGTACCTTGGGAGGCAGGAGATCTTACAGCTCTTATATTTAAAGGCCTTTCTCTCTAGTATCATTCTTTGGGACTTGGCATTCTTATCATTTTTGGGGTCTGGAATATCCAATTATCCAAGTTTTTTCTTCTTTTCAGGTCGATTCTTCTACAATCGTCTGGTAGGTTTCATGACTAGTGGACCAATGTGCGCTCAGATATTGGCAGGAGATAATGCAATAGCAAGATGGCGGAAACTGATGGGACCAACTAAAACTTTCAGGTATAGTACACCAGATTCTAATGTATGAACACATGGAATAAAACTAATTAAAATGGCAGAAACTGATGCGAGTATGCGACCAATTAAAACTTTCGGGTATAGTAGATGCATCAATACGCATCTCTTTGGGATATGGCTCATAATCACCCAACCTCAAATAGCTGTTAAAAGCTAATTGTCACTCCTTTTTGAGGGGGGGGGGGGCATATCTTCCACAGTGTCCCACAGTTCGATACCTGAGCTGTGCCTTACGGAACGTAATGTGAAAGGAAAGTTTCTAGATATATCAATTAATCATATTTGATTTTATATTTATTTGTTTCATATACATCAACATATACATTTACGATCTTACAAGGACATGGTTTATGCAGAACGTGGTCATCTTAACCTGTTGACTACTGAATTTCATTTGTCCCATAGGCTTAACACAGGGACCACCAGGTTCCCGTAGGCAAAAGGTTAATCATAAGTTTGAAGTGTCATCCTCTATGTGATTGATAGTGGATTAGATGCTTTTTGAAAGAGCGCCATCTCAAGACTAAATCCTGTAAAACATGTCTCTCTCTTGTGCATATACCATGCTGATGTTACATAACCAGTCAACTAAAAAGTGCTGTCAAAGCAGAAAAGTAATTGAATATAGGGACTGCCTTGTCAAGCGTTCTTTTTAAAATTGTGCTTTAAAATATATTAAATGAAATACAGATACTTTGTACGATAATGTTAGAGTCATTGTTGTTGACTTTTTATTATACTTACTTACTTGGGTGTAGAGACTGGAAGCTTAGCTTATTTGTCCCTCTTTACTGTTGCATCCCGTCTCAAGTATGGTTCAAACTTAATCGAATTGTTTCTCCAATACCTTTCTAGGGATGACTTGAATTGGTTAATGGTAGACCTTTGTTTAGTTGATATCTTGTGAAATATTGTCTAATTCCAAGAGAATGTTTTGAATTGATTATTTTAGAGCCAAACACCTTGAACCGAACTCTATCCGTGGAGAGCATGGCTTGACAGACACAAGGAATGCAACTCATGGTTCAGGTTTGTGTTCACACTTCCTTTGAGAGAGAGCCGCAGAGGAGAAGGAGGAGGAAGAATAAAATGATGATGATGACGATGATGATAATGATAATAGGAGAAGAGAGAGAGAGAGAGAGAGGAGCAGTAATCCACTTTTCCTCTTAAAGGGATCTGGTAACTTTGTCTCAGATTCCGAAACGAAATCCTGGATTTAGCTCATGCTGCAATGATAATTATAAACCTTTAGGTCAGTCAGGAACCCCAAGACCTTTACAAGCAGATCGCCTGTCTAATTATCAAGATACTTATGATTGGAAATCGAAACCAAATTTTACGTTTGCCAAATGGTTTCCATAAGGCGAGGCGTCAAAAATAAATATACCAGCCAGAGGCAGCTAACTGCACTTGTGCGTCCTGGCTGCATTTTTAAAATTAGCTCAGCCGGCTACCGCTGGCGGTAGGAAATGGCATTCAAAAGCATGCGCCGGCTGCCGCCTTTCGAATGGAAACCGAGCCTCAAATCCCAGCCTGGCGCAAGCCGGCTGGGCTAATAAGTGAAAAATAATTGCCCCAGCCAGGCTTCGGCCGTAATTGCAGCCTCGATGCGCCAATACGTGAGGCGGCAGCCTGCTGGTATCGATATTTTTGACGCCTCGCCTAACACTGCAGTCTACTGGGCAAAACGAATACGGTAAAACCGGTCACTCAAATATTTTTACTTTTTTGAGGCACTTCTTGATCATTTTGAAGCGGGATTTTTTTAGGGCTTCAATATTATACCATGTTACAGACACTGATAACACGTAGGGCCGTGCATCTCAGATTTAACATTGTTAAACGATGCCTTTAAAGGTTTTTTTGAGAAATTAAATTGTCACAGATGATGAAGTATGAAATAAATTCTGAAAAATACTTTAATAAGAGGTGAATAAAGATGTAAACTATAGAACAGACAAAAATATTTTAAATAAAGCAAATTTTAATCAATCGAATTAGCTACATGTATGACCTTGGCCAAAATAACTTACATGCACATCTATGGCCAAAACAACTTATTGAGTCATGAAAGGATTTATCTTTAATTGTATTTCAAAATATTTGTCAAACTATTTTTCTTGTGTGATTCTGTTTACAGACTCTCCAGAGACTGCTGCTAGGGAAATCAACTTCTTCTTCCCAGAATTCAACATTCCTCTGTGGTTGGAGAGGGAGGAACCATTATTCAGGAGAGGGGAGTTTGAGCTCTGTAAAGACGGAGGGATTCATATACCAAAGCCTACATTCACCCAACCAGAAAGATGACACGTACCCTTCTGTATGGACATAAATTATAGTTAGATGCTGTAAATGTAACTAACTGTAAAAGAAACTTTATCGTGCCTAAAAGACTTGTGCAAACTTTGTGAGATGTAGATATTTGCAAAAGTTTTATGCCACAAAATGAATGAAACTACTAGGTACATGGAATTTTTGTTCTTCTCAGAGGGTTTTTTTCCGCGAAAATGGCTACCAATGACAATTCAGGGAAGTTTCATGATAACAGAAGTGTCTGTTTTGACAGTATGTGAAAGAGTGCCTATTTATTGGATTTCATTGAAAGTGGTTGTATTCATATTGTTTGTCTAAATCAAGAATGCAAGTTCTGTGAGCACGACTTTACCTGTGAGTCTGTTATCTGTGCAATATAATAATATGTTCCGAATAACTTTCGAAGTGACAACCTGTTGGTTCTACTGGTGGTCAAACATGAACATTTCTGTTTCATGTCTGATTTGGGGTTGGGTTTAGGTGTAGGGTATTTATGCGTAGCCACAGAATTTGGAAATTGGGCTAAGGGCTGGAGGCCACTTGAGAATTGTGAAATTGCCAGCTTCGGGGAAATCATCAAATCATATTCAGACAATGGTAGCCTCATATTTATACAGCCAAGTTTTCAGCTTGTATTTTGATATCTTATTGATAAAGGAAATATATAGTCAATATTATAAAGTGAGAAAAAATTGGGTGCTCTCTTGCTTCACTCACTCACAAAATGTAGAAACTTATTGTGCAAGAAAAGATGTCAGCCCCCCCCCCCCAAAAAAAAAAAAGAGGAGGGGGGGTGCTCTGTAGTCAGGACAGAATCAGCACTTGTAAATGTACACAGTTTTTAAAACACCAATTTTTTTCTGGCATTTTATCTCAAAATCTCTTGAGTTATTTCTCTTTCGTTTGACTGTACAGTTTGGAAAGGTGAAAGTTCGCATAGGCATGCAAATTATTATTTGTGACGTCAGTAGCGTGAGTACCGTCCAAAAACATTGCCCTTGACCCTGATATACCACCCTCACAAGGTCAAGTGCAATTTGTATACGTTTCTGACGCCTCTGCTGACGTCGCAGCTAATAATTTGCATACTTTCACCCTTCCAAACTCTACCATGACTTGTAAGCTTTCTAGAGCGAAATGGCTGTCCACTCTTCTCTCACTACTTTGTAATCATCATCGTCATCATCATCGTCTGCAGGTACTGATTCATAGGAACCTACCTCATTTATCCTCATGTGATCAATATTTATAAACTGTGATTAATCTCGCAAAGTGTACTTATCAAATCAGGACATTCTAATGAAAGGTATTCCTATTGATCACTATTCATGTGATCAACGTTTATGAATTATCTGATTTGATGAATGGTATTCATGTATTTGTACGTGAAGTTGGTGAACAGAACTGAATATGGTTACTTTTTGTTTTGTATTAGGGAATCAAAATTTACAACGGTTGTTGATATGCTAGGTACAGGTTGATGAACTACCGGTAAATGGCAAATGCACACTTTTTGTAAATGTTGCCCTGTTTTACCATGTTTAGTAGCCATAACAAACTCTGATTTAACTTTCAATTTGATAGAGAGAGAAGAAAGTGAAAGTTAGGGCCTTCTTTCCTAAATTTACGCTGGTATATTACAAATGTGGTACACAATAGAAAGAAATTAATACAAATTAAATTATGGTGATCTCTGGTGCAACCAAACAGTCTTTGGAAAGATGACTACTGCACCCCCTCTTTAGTTTCAACTCAGAAAGTACTGCACACTCCACCAATAAATGTTCAATGGAATCAAGTAAATGTTCGCACAGACAAACTGATTATGTTCTTACTGTAGCACCTGTATTCGTCTTCCAATACATATGAGAATCCATTAGGCATAAGATACCTTGAACTTTCTGTACCTCCATTGTATGTGGTATTTCAGGTGTATGTTTATCTGTGTGTGATCGGTTCTTTGTAATACAATAATGATTAGCAAAAATATTGGCGAACAAATAACCTCTGATGTACCTATACACCTTTTCTGATAAATTACCGGTACCTTTATGTCAATTGGTATCATTTTGGCTACGGTAATTATATACATTTTGCAGTTTGGTAACACTAACTGCACACATAAATTTGGGAGTATTTTTGTACAAATTGTGTTTTAAAGCTCTGTGGAGACTTACATTGGAACAAAAGTCAATTTTTCTTTTTAAGTTGTTCACGTACATGTATTGTTTTGTCGATGTGTTCTTATATATGCAATCGTCATGTTTTAATTGTTATATGGGTTCCGAAATCTTAGGTGCTAACTTAGTCAAAATTCACAAAAAATGGATTAGATTTAATATCGACCTGGTTTAGATAGGAAATAGTAGAATTGTTTTACATAAAATCCACAAAATCTGCATTTTTTTTGGCTGAGACAAGTTTATAAAGGCTTGCTAATCCGTGATAGGGGATTGAATTGAATAGTTTTGCTCATTTTTTATTTAAAAAAACTTCTTATCAGACGATGATAAATACGTTTATGAAAAAGAAAGTATCTAAAGGATTGAGAAGTGATCACACTGCACCCAGTGTAGTAATATATATTTATCCTTGTTATAACCTTTTCAAAATGTCTTCTCTGTGAAAATATTCTGTTTACCAGTATGTGACCTACAAGTTGAGACTATAATGTTTATACTGAGAGAGGGCGCTAGAGACACCACTACCTCCAATGCAATCAGAGCCATCTATACACAGAGTTTGGCCAACTTGGTTGTTTTGTGCTTGCACAATTGGGTCCAACTCAAACCAGGTTGGCCAAACTTTGTGTACAGGTGGCTCTGCCTCCAATATGGCTGAATAATCATGCAGTCGGGCAAATATTTGGCACAGGATATCACTTTTTGAGATGTTAATAACTTCCTCACTTCATATAGCAACCAAAATGACATATTCTCAAAGGTGCTTTCAATATGGTTTGGTAGTTGATTAATGTGAAATTTGATGTAAGAGATTTTCACATTTAAAAGAAATACAAAATTGGTATGTTTTTATGGGATTTTAATTATTGTATCACTGTAATGAATATAAAACTGATTTTGTGTAAGGGACTATTTTTTATTAAATCTTGACAGGAAAATAAATAAATAAAATAAAAGTCAGATGAACTTTCGTGTACTTAGAGACAGATGAAAGTTACCTCCAACGGTGAAATAAATCCCCAAAATGCACTAACACTGATTTATCGACAGTTTTAATGCAACAAAACAGTGAAAAAGAGGACTTACAATGACTAAATTAATCTATTTCTCTTTCCTAAAGGGTGAGAAAACAGCTAAATAACAGAGAAATTAGTGATTCAAGATAATTATATGTTGTTAATTATGGATCCAAAATTAGTTCTGACCAAGTTTTAGGGCTTTGCGTTAATTATGCAATTCAATGCTAACGATGTGTCTATAATATTTCCATGATACTGTATTTGTTTGTGAAATAGCTCAGAATAAAAGAATTCCCACCAAGAGATATTGTAAGATTAAGACTGGTGTGTCTCTGTATAGCCTAGGGATTCTATTCCATTAATTGCACATTTAAAAGAAAAGCTATTGCAAGTCTGTTGACTTTCTAATCAAGTTGCCTCACTTGCACATCCAAAATAAGTTAGTTATGACATGATCCATGTACATTTTAAATATTTTTTAGGTTGCATTTAATAGGTGATGAGAGAGGACATGGGAATAGTATAGAGGGTTAACTGTAAAATAAAAGAGAAGGAGTAATCGAGTTAGGGAGGATGAAAGAGAGAAAGCCAGGAGAGAGACAAAGAGAGAAAGAGTGAGTGAGAAAAGGGTAGATATATAGAAGAGAGAGAGAGAGAGAGAGAGAGAGAGAGAGAATTAAGGGGGATCGAGAAGAAAGAAAGAGAGAGAAAGCTAGGGAGCATGGCCGATGGGGGAGATATAGAGAGAGGGAGCTGGGGGAGGGGATGAATCGGCGGTAGTATAGGGGATTTGAGACTGGAATTTATTAGCGGTAATATTAATTGAACTAATATTAGGTATAGCATTCTGCAACTATCTTTCATTATAATTATTGATCTACAATTTGCATATGCAACATATCCATTGCAATTCCTTGTACAATCGACCCGTTTCATAACATGTTATGTTTCATTGCAAGTCTTTTATTGGCCTATATTATCGAATCCAAAGAACAATTATTAACTTATACAAAAGCTTATTCAATTCGAGGCTAAACCTATTGATTGTCATAGTGACGCACGTAATACCGGTACCGTATATGCATATAACTGTCCATGTACTGTGTGTACCGTTAAATAAGTACCGTATAGATCTAGGCCTTGTGCAGTTGAAGTGAAAGGAGGAAATAAGGCGAGGTCAAGACGATGCGGAGATAAGAAGGTAAGTCGTTAAAAACAAATTCTATGAATTTTGCTTAAATTTTACTTTCTAGCCTTGAGTTTATGCCCTACACATTATATTTTGGTATTATCAGTATTATTGTAAGCTTGTATTATACAATCTGTCGTGGATAATTACAGATGTTATCTGCCGGGCTCGAGCTCGACGGTCTACATACCAGCTGCTGCGGCCGCGGCATACACCATGCAGAGTAGTCGACCGTACTTACCGGGCTCAGCTGAGCTCAGTCCCGAGAGCTTTACGGTATTCTCGTTAGACCGAAAGCTTCAGTCTTTGATATTGCCGGTTGTTCCGCTGATCGGGAGCAGTATGGGGAAGGTTGACAAATGTCAGTTTTGTTAAAGAATTCTCCATACCAGACAGTTATTTTTGTCCATATTTTTGTAGTAGGCTAGGTAATGTCTAGATCTAATGATGATAGTGTTGGCATGGTGGGTAGGCAACATCTGGCCAAATAGATACCGGTTGGCATGGACATGGTTGATGTTGGATTATCAAATCTTGTCATGTACATGTTGGGTAGGGACATGTGATTATAGACTACAGTTGATGTAATAATTTCAAGAAGACAAGAATTTAGTTTAGATTCTAGGTAGATCTAGGAATATTTCAGAATCCGAGATGTAAATTAACTTGTGCGATAGACATTGTTAAGCCTTAAAGCCAGGACAAACAATTATGATGGTTAGATCTATTGTCATATTCGATGCATACTTTTTTTTGTAAATCCAAAGGCAAATTAAAGTGACAGCTGCGGACACACAACCCCCCCCCCCCCTCCCCATAATACACCGGCCTACATGTATTTGTACTGTTTGTTGTACAGTGCCCATATGCTCAACAAATGAAAATATAGATCTATGTCTCTATATCAGAGATAGGCCTAGATCTAGGCCTATACAAAAATTGTGAAAAATGTCTAATTATAGCACTTTTATTCATAATCCTCCAAATGATGGAAGGTCACATCAGAAATCCCAATCTGCATGTAAAGCGAATGAGTGGGCAGACATCTTGTTTTTGTGATGACGAAGTGATGGGTAGGGTCTACATGTATACTAGCTACATATTGTACCAGCGTCTAGCCAGGCGCGGATCTACGGGGGGGGGGGGGGGTTTAGGGGGTTTAAAACCCCCCCCCCCCCTTGGGCGCCCCCCCCCCCCCCCAAAAAAAAAAAGAAAAGAAAGAAAAAAGAATGCACGCTGGAGAGAAACCCTTTCAAATGCAAATATTGTGAGAAGATATTCAACTCATCTGGTAACTTAACCAAACACATGATAACTCTGGATATAACTGTGTATTAAGCTGTTACTTGATTTAAAAAGACGTTATCATGCACTACTTTTTATGGTCTCCACGGGGGTCTCCATTGTGTTAATAGATGCCAGGAAAACATCACTTACGGGGTTCAAATAAACACCCCCCAAAAAAAAATTGGCTCGCCGCTTTGCGGCTCGTGGACGATGCTCTGCATCGTCATTATTTTGGTCAACCCCCCCCCCCCCCCCTTAGCAAAAAGCTAGATCCGCCCCTGCTAGCCGTGGATGTACAGTACGAGCTGAAGCCGGCGAGTCTGTCCAGCCACAGGGTATCTGAACTGAATCTTTTGGTCTGCCTGGGGAAAAAACTTTCACTAAAACAGACACTTATGTTGAAACTGAAGCCACCTTTATTTATTCAAACTCGCCCTGTTTGGGTAATCAGATTTGGTTTGGATGGGGGTGTGCCGCTCAATCCTCGAGGGTCATGTAAAAAGCCCATTTTTCACAATTTTGTCTTAACATGTGATTACCCCCCCCCCCCCCCCCCCCCCAACCGGGCTCATACTCGTAGGCTGTCAATTTGGAATTCCTCTCGTGTGTAGTGGAACAAGAACGTACATTTAAATACTGTACATGTATGTGAGCTCATTTGGGCTTTTGGCTTGGAATACCGTAGTCTACGGTATTCCAAGCCAAAAGCCCAAATGAGCTCACATACATGTACATGTACAGTATTTACTGTAAATGTACGTTCTTGTTCATGTATCTACGGCGTAGATACATGTTCCTCATTCTCAATCTCATTCAATTGTTGAATGTGTATTAAACTGTACCAAATAAATCAGGTCACACGCATGTTAAGGGGGGGGGGGACGCTGTTCCCACAACTACACCCATGATCATCCATGTACTTCTCAAACAAACTAGACCTTTTTAGATGCAAACTACAGCAGAACTCGATTTTGAGAAGCATTTCTCATGCTTCGCCAGTCTTAAAGGCCCACTGCACTACTTGTAGCTACTTGCGCCCTCTATATAACAACCAAAGCCTAATCGGTGACCATTGGTCCCCCATGATCCTCTTTTTCTTATGTTAACTGAGAGCTGAGTTGATGAGATAACCACCTGTCCAGTGACCTTGTAGAGCGCTCTAATCCCTTCTGTAAACTATGGCAGATAAGCTTTAAACTGACCTTGTAGGATGACTTCGTGGGGTTCATGAAAAGGAAGTTAATTGTAGTATACACAATCTAGGAAACCAAAGAAACTTACTGGCACTTGTATATGTACTTGTGGTTATAACACCCTGCCTCATTAAATGTAAATACCAGCGTTATTCGTTCATGAATAAACTGAAACCAGCAGTGTACATCTTGAATGGGAGATTGGTACCATGAAAAGTTACTGATTAGTTTATGACTGACTTTTCTTTGAGATTTCATAGTAATTTCAACAAGTAGCCAATTTGTGCGGTCATCGTAAAAGGCCTTGTTTGATTTTTATTTATATTTGTTTCATCTACATCTACATGTAAGTATGTTAGGCCAAACAACAAAAATAATGACTTTTTCAAAAAGAAGGAGGCAGCAAATACTATTTTTTTTAAATAATTTTTTAAAAATATTTTTAAAAATATTTTTTAAATATTTGTTGTCTTCAAAGATGGCCACCATGCTAAATATGGCTGGCCAAGGTACAGATATTGTGCTATTTGACTACAGTGTATTTCTACCTACATGTACACATACATGTACATGTAAATGTACATGTACAGGGTATGACAAAACAAATGATTTGTATCATTTTAGTCCAAAGTCCAAACAGTGAAAAATGTGTTCAGCTTGAATAATTATAGAAGCTATTTATACGATTTTACTATTGTCTTCTTCTGAATAGTAAATAGTTTTTTAAAAAGGAGGCAGGCGGGGACGAGAAACTCATTATTTTTGTATTTTGGCCTTGTACTCTTTCCACGGATAAACCAATCTCTGATTCAAGCTGTTGAAATAGAGAGATTAATAACTCTGGTAGAGAGAACTTATAAAACATTTACTATTAAAGTACAACTTTACTTAAGTTTATACATACTGTAGATGCGATTATTTATCAAACTCAATAACAATTGGACAATTAGGCACAAAACGGAGCTTCTGTCTCGATAGACTATTTAAACATAAAGTGTATTTATACATGATGTTAAAGTGTGACTAGAGAGTGGAGAAGTGTAGAAGATCCCGTCTTTACCGTTGACATTCCAATATATACTCAAGTAAATTATGTACTGTAGCTTTTCCTGTTTAATATCAGACTCGGCCTGGCTACAAATCCAGCTTCACCGGTACATGTTACTGCATTCAGGCTTACAACACTGTAAATTTGGTTACCTGTGAAACATACACTGTAGAGTCTGTTTCTGCAGACTAATAAAGTAGTTCTCCTAGAAAAGGTGACAGCAGGTCCATGGTGAAAGCAAGGAGCTTGGGAATGGCTTCCTTGATCTTGAAGCCCTGTGCTCTCTCCAGGGAGCTGTTTGAGGAGGTAGTATGACTAAACTTGTCATTGAACTGGATGATTTGATGGCTTGTCAAGATGGTTTATGACCACTCAAATTACAAATTAGTCATGAGAGAGTATACTGGCCTGGGGAGCGTTTCACAAAGATCCTAAGTTGAACTTATCTCTAAGTTGGACTAAACAATTATGGAAAGCTGTTAGCGTCTATGAAAATAGTTTGCAAAAGTTATTTTAAAAGGCATAACATGTCGATTCAAATAAACGTACAAGTGTACATGTATACTGAGAAGAAAATGATAATGGTAATAAGTAATTAAGCATTCATCAAAGGCACAGAGGGATATTGAGAGGAATGAAATCTGATGAGCGTGTATTGTTTCTGTATTAAACTACAGTACTTGTAATGAGTCTATACTCTAATCTCTATACATGTACAGTACATGTACATGTACATGTTGATGCCTAAAATAAGCTATATTAAAGGTAAAGACCAGTATTGGAAACGCCCCAATTTCAAAAAATGAAATGGAAGCTCTCATTACCAATCATGTGAAAGAATATGTTTTGACTAATACATGATGAAAAAAAATTTGCCGGGAAACCGCCTACTAATTCATATATTTGGTAAATTTGTTTCACTCATGGACTGTGAGAGATATAGGGCAGTCCCATACACATCTTTCTGTGTATAGTGCTTGTAACTTTACGAAGAATGGGCCAAATTTCTTATCTTTTTGATGATTCCAGAACCTTGCAGATGCTAGATGCTAGATGATCAACCTTTTCTGATCGATTCCGCAACGTTTCTTTCACAATGCAATCGCATGACCATAACTGGTCTTTACCTTTAAAATGTACATGTATAGTGGCCAGATCTATATAAGTTTTGGTATCTATTTGCTGAAAGTTGCATACTCAATGACCCCTCCTACTCTATGTATCCAGATGTTGATGACAACAGAATTGCCTTAGGTCAACCTTATTTTAGTAAGGGAGGGGGGGGGGGGGGGTGATGTAGATTTAAGCCAGGCTGCAATCACCTGTACATGTAGCTAAATTAGGTAAATCTTACCTTGCTCTTGTACAGTATCTTTGCCAGATTGTTAACCTAATTTTGCAGTAACTAAGGTTAAAAAATGGACAAATACTTCTAATTGTTGAGGCTAAGAGAGACCCACCCCTTTGGGTGCAATAGCATTTATAGTACTACCGGTACTTTAAATAGTGGATGTGGAAAAGGCTTGGTGCAGAATAAGTAGGTTAGGGTGAGTGAAAAAGGATGTTGGCACTATTAAACCTCAAATAAATGAATTTACATGGATGAAATTTAACCTTGAACTTGAACTTTGATTTCCTCTTTTAAAGCCCACTGCACTAGTTTGGCCAGGAGGAATTAGACCTCCCTGCATTTTCATGAAAATAAAAAAAAGACCTTATTACTTGATATTCTTTACTCAGTTTTAGCTCTATTACATGTAAGTACCCATTTCATTTGTCTTGAATGTACAATTTTAGCGCAGATAGGTACATTGTAATTGTATATGTTGATAAGCTTGCTTAATCTGAACTATTTTTAAACATTGATTCCTCCTTTGTTACATAACACAAATACGATGGATAAAAGAAGAACAGCAATGGTCCTAGAGAACATTCAAATATAAATATTTACCCTATTATCTACATATTGACATATAAGAATTACTTAAAAGGGATTTTCCCTTCAATTTCCCGGGATGGGGAGGAAGACATATTCTGAGATGGGGAGCGCCTTGCCATGCCCCCCCCCCCCACCCGAGCCAACTATATACCCCTACATGGACGTACAAGGGGTCTGCATGTACATGTACACCGCGATGGCGTTTTCCCCGGGGTGTTTTCGCATAAAGCCTGTCTGCACTAGTTTGGCCAGGGGGGAGGGCGCAAAACAAAATTAATGAAATTTTGAGCAATATCCGATTAAAAATAAGAAAGTTATGAAGTTTAGAAGGCGAGATAAATCAAACGCAAATCGCCAACACTGTAACGTATCTTGCGAGTCCCTTTCCAGTTTTCTGTGTATCTAAAATTTCATTAACTTTCAATTTCTTTGTTTATTGATAACGTAATAGATTTCTTTCCAAACAGGGGATGTATAGAAACATGTATTTGCAATCATTATTAAATAGGAGGGGAGCTTGTGCTTGATTGGTTGCAACTCCAAAAAATCATAACTTTCTTATTTTTAATCAGAATTTGGTCAATCTATCTTTGACCTGTTCCTATCATTTTTCTGCTTCTATTTAAACCAGCTTAATATCAGGGTGGACTTCCCCTTTAAGTGATTTAGCAAAAGCCTCTTGTATTGGCAAATTGTCTAATTTTTCATACAGCAAACGCGATATGATGCTTTCAAATTAATTGTAAGGTGTGCATTTTATAAGATACGTGTAGCTAACTCGGCTGCCAGCTGGCCAGAGTGGTTTTTTAATGAGAACTTTGGCAGAAACCCCATTTCTATGATTACAGGTATGTAATATTGTAGATAAGATTAGTCTAATTGTATTGCTGTGAACCTGCTATTTCTAGATCATTTGTAGGAACAATCGTTGATCTTTAATCTGTTTGTGTTTGTTTTTATTCCATTCAGAAGCAGCCTGGGTCCAATTGATAGCGGCTGTCTCTAAGATGAAAGGAATTCCTGCACCTCCCACTCCACAAACGGAGTTCACCAAGGTGGCCTTCTTACCACCGTATAAAGACATGTGACATTTCATCTTGAGAGCTTACTCGAACGGACACAGGGTTCTGAAGAGCACAGGAAGATGTGTTGCTGAAGAAAACCAAAGAAAAGATGACTTACTTTGACTGCATAGACCGACTCCTGGTGAGCTTTTTCTATCGCTATGGAAAGCTCATTGCTCGGAAACCACTCCCTTTTCTGCTCGTGTCTCTGGTTGCGGCCATTGGACTAAGCATCGGAGTCATCTATATTCAGTTGGAGACGGATACTGTTGATCTGTTTACACCTGACAAAAGCCAAGCAAGGGATGATGGGGACATTATGTATGAGAAATTTCCAGTGCATTACAACGATTATAGTCCTTCACGGGGCAAGGGTATCACAGATCAGGGTGCGAACGCTATTGCAATACCAAAAGATGGCAATAATGTCCTGAGGGAGGATGTCATCAGTGAAATACTGCGCTTTAATCACGGAGTGCTGAACATCACGGTCCAGAACTCTAGTGGGATCGCCAACAATTATTTATCTTTATGTGCAATGTCGCACGGTGCTTGTCTGACGCAGCCTGTCCTGCAAGCGTATTCCTACAATGCAAGTCGTGTCAAAGACATCAACCTTACCCATCCGTTCTACCATCCTTCCAAAACTAGTGCAATCTTTGTTGCCGCTTCTCTAGGAGATGTAGCGGTGGATGAAACCTCGACAATCTTAACAGCTGGTCTCTTCTCCCTGAACTATTATCTGAAGTCCATTCCAGAGTTGGAAACCATGAACAGGGAATGGGAGGAAGAATTTCTGCGCTATGCGAGAGATTTTGAATCGGACGTGATCTCGATGTCTTTCATCGTCTCTCACTCTCTTACAAAGGAGATCACAAGTTTGACAATCACCATCCTACCGTACCTGATCGTTGCTATTGTGCTTCTGTCATGTTTCGCCGTTGCTTCTTGTATGGTGGCTGACTGGGTGCTGAGTAAGACGAGCCTCGCGATGCTAGGGTTAGTCTCCGCTTCCCTGGCGATTGGTGCTTCAACTGGTCTCCTGTGCTTCATCGGTGTTCCCTTTAATATTGTCGCTGCGTCCATGCCATTTCTTATCATAGGTAAGTGAGAGATGTTCCAAGTCGTATCAAATCTTTTGTAGCTAAATCAAGTACATTGTATGTACATTTACATTTGTCCACCTAATTTACCAAATGTTGTCCAATTTCGGGTATCACAAAAATAAACATCAGGATCAAACTATTTATATGACTCCTGTGACTTGTACAATGTACCTAAGAGTGCTGTAAAGAAGAAAATGTGTAAAGACCTGTACAGTGTACTGGGCCGGTATTCAATTCAACACTTGTGTACATGTACGTGTATTATCGTTGTAAGGTTAGTAGTAGTGATGAAAAGATGCTAAACTCATTGACAATGTATTAAATGCATTACGTTGTTCTGTTGTTTTGTAAACTAGATTGGTAAAGTACTTACATACATCTATGCCTGCTCATGAATTGTATGCATACTTGTTGGTAATCTGAATATCATGTTTTTCTATTCTAAAGTCTTTCTTTTCTTATTGTTCTCTCAAGGCATTGGGATTGATGATATGTTCATCATGATTGCTGCCTGGCGGAAAACGAACCCTCGGGATTCGGTGGAAGAGCGCATGGGTCACACCTATTCAGAAGCTGCAGTGTCCATCACCATAACCAGCATTACCGATGCCCTTGCCTTCGGGATAGGGGCCATCTCGCCATTACCGGCTGTCCGAGTCTTTTGCCTTTATACAGGAGTAGCTGTCATCTTCGACTACCTCTTTCAAATCACTTTCTTTGGCGCTTGCATGGTGTACAGTGGCAGGAGGGAAGCAGCCAACAGACACTGCATCACTCTGGTAAAAGTAGTCCCACGCCAAGAAGCCAAGTCCAAGTTCTACAAGCTGTTTTGCGCCGGTGGGTCTTCATCGAAGGATCCCGATAGTTTGAAGAGTTCATGTGAGACGGCCCTGATGACTTTCTTCAGAGATCACTATGGTCCGGTGCTGATGGTTCCTGCGGTGAAGGTCTTTGCCCTTCTCTTGTTCCTAGCATACATTGGCAGTGCAGTCTACGGCTTGTTCCAAGTTACTGAAGGCTTGGAAATGAAAACACTGGCAGGAGATGGCTCTACCACTCATAATTTCTTTGACTATCAAACCAAGTATTTCTCAGACTATGGACCCCCGGTGTCTGTAGCCATACATGACAGATTAGATTACAGTGACCCATCGGTCCAAGAAACTTTAGAAAGGGTAGTCTCTGATTTGGAAAGCAGTGAATACATCCATTCATCAAACTTCACAGAATTTTGGCTGAGAGACTACTTCAGATTCCTGGACATCTTACGCATTCCAGAAGATAGAAGAGCAAATGAATTTATGACAATCCTGGTTGAACAATTCTTAAAAGTTCCCTCTTTTTCAAGATATGCCGAAGACATCATTTTCAGGGATGGCCCAAACGGAACAGAAATTGAAGAATCTCGCTTTATTATTTTAGGAGATAGTTTGAAAACAACATCCCAACAAATGAAAATGATGGCCGATGTGCGAGAGAGGGCTGAAAAGGCAGATTTGAATATGACTGCATTTTCTCCTTTGTTCATCATCTATGAGCAGTTCGTAGTGGTACTTCCCCTGACTCTTCAGAACATATTAATAGCTGTAGGCTGCATGTTTGTCATTGCTCTCCTCCTCATCCCGCATCCGTTCTGTGCCGTCATGGTAACGGCCTGCATCGTCTCCATCCAGATCGGCATTATTGGTTACATGTCCTTGTGGGATGTACGACTCGACGGCATCTCCATGATCAACATCATCCTCTGCATCGGATTCAGCGTTGACTTCTCCGCCCACATCACCTATGCTTTTCTGTCGTCCAACCAAGCCTTGGAAACAATAGACCACCAGCACCACCACCGGAAGCTCTCCGTCGCTGAGCGCAAGGCTGTGATGGCGCTCTACTCCCTAGGGATGCCCATCCTCCAGGGCGCGCTGTCCACCATCCTAGCCAACGTGGTGCTCGTGTTCTCTCCAAGCTACATCTTCAGAACGTTCTTCAAGATCATGTTCATGGTGATGGTCCTTGGTATGGTACACAGCCTCATCTTCCTGCCTGTCCTGCTGTCGACCTTCGGTGGGTGCTTCAAAATGACCTCCAGCACACCGGCCTCGCCTCCTGTATGCAAGATGAGCAAGAAGGCAGATAGCGTCAACCAGGAAGGTAAGAGAGAATTGGTGTTTGTGGCAGATAATTCTGTCCTGCATGTCTATCCTATGCTTGGTGGAAAAGTTTCGAGTGTCTAACCTCATCCCTCTATGAAATTTACATGCATGCATGCATAACTTTTTTTTTCTTATTTCACCATGTCATTTGTTGTGAGCCAGAAGGGTATTGTCCCAAATCAGTTTATGTCAGGGAAAAAATTAATATTTATTTTTCGGGGGCTACTTTTCAAGCTTGCCTGCTTAAAAATGACACTCTAAAATTTGTTTTGCATTGAACTCTATTCAAATTTATGGGGGCTCTTTTCTGATTTTCGGGGGCTCTTTTGGGCTTTTCGGGGGCAAATTTGCCCTGAGCCCCCGTGTATTTTTTCACTGGTTTATGTACAATAAATTCCCTTCTGGCTTTCACCAGATACGTGCATACTCTACATGTACTGTACATGTAGATGTAGATGTGTTTATCCAGTAGTTTCTGTTTTATACTGTTTGCACATTACTGTCATTTTGAAGTACCATTTCTTTTCATATTCTTTGAAATTAGCTTAATAATACAAGTATTAACACTTCCTTTTCAAAATGAGTACTCATATTTAGTATTTTCTTGTCTTTTATTGTGCTGCTTTCATCATAAATTCTATTATTTTCATACCAGAATTATATATTTAGTGTGCATACAATGTGCATACCGTACAAACATACATGTATGTACGGTGTAAGTGATTTTTTTTAATGGGTTATTACCGTTATTTGCATTGAATTTACAGTAGGAGGTACAATGTAATTTACAGTTAATGAAGGTACCAGAGAAACTGATGGCGAATCGAAACCCAAGTATTAATATGAGGATTACATTGCAAATAGAGAGTTAGAAGCAAAGGCAGCATTGGTGATAAACTGAAAACACCTGGAACAGTCTCTCAAATATTGCCCTTGTACGTGTACACTGTAGATTGTGTGAAAATTGCCATTTTAACTGTGTTTCTAGATTATGTAATTGTTTGCTTATTTGTAGTAAATTTTGTTTGGAATTTTTGCAGTGTGTTAAAATTTTAGTTCTCTCTTCAGAAATATAAAGTTCATATCTGTTCAGCATTCTTAAAGTGAAAGCCCCAGTCCCATATAAAGCCGGACCAGCACGGACGAGCACGGACCACTCCGGACCATCCCGGACCATGGTCTGGGGTGATCCGGGATGGTCCGGGATGTTTTGTTAAAAAAAGTGTGATGCTTTAAAAGCTACAGTCCCATATACGTCCCGGACCGTCCCGGACCATCCCGGACCCCATCCGGGGTGATCCAGGATTCGGTCCGTGTTGACACCGTGTTGGCACCGGGGTGGTCCTGGGTGGTCCTGGATGGTCCTGGGCGGTCAATAACTCACTCCCGGACTGCCACGGATCAACACGGACCGCCCCGGCGCCACTACGGATGACCCCGGACCCAGCACGGTGGCTACACGGATCACCCCGGATCAAACTATTGTCCCGGACCGTCCCGGACCACCCCGGCAGTTTTTGACCGTCAAAAACATCTGGGGTCGACTCCCGGACCGCCCAGGACCATCCAGGACCGCCCAGGACCATCCAGGACCACCCTGGTGCCAACACGGTGTCAACACGGACCGAATCCCGGATCACCCCGGATGGGGTCCGGGATGGTCCGGGACGGTCCGGGACGTATATGGGACTGTAGCTTTAACTTTAATTGTTCAGTATTTTCTTTAAAAGACTTACAGGGTGTACATGTATTTGGGTACATGTGTATTTTTTGTTTAAGTATCTTGAATTACAGGCTGTAAAGAGAAGGTTGAGTTCTGGAAAGAGGTGAAAAATAATTTGTGAGCATTATCATTGTGTTATGCAAGTGTGGAAGAACATCAGATAAAAAAAATTCCCTGATAAGCATGATTCTTCATACATGTACATGTAGATGCCTAATATTCTAAATATGGCATGTACACTTGTCAGTACATACATGTACATGTATATCATAACAATCGGGACAGACTTTTATGCTACATGTTCGTGTGGTCCCATGAACATGTTCATGTACTGTACATCTTTCTGTGTACAGTGCTTGTAACTTTACCAAGACTGGGCCAAATTTCTTATCATTTTGATGATTCCAGAACCTTGTACGGTAGTACACACCAATACTTACCGGTATGCTACAATGTACATGTAGATGATCAACCTTCTCTGATCGATTCCACATGTTTTTTTCACAAAGTAATCGCATGACCAGAACTCAACTTTATCTTTAAAATACAAACAATAAAAGTTGGCAGTGTGTAGAAAAGCAGATTTACATACAGTGTAGTACTGTATTAATAGGTTAGATTTTTTTCTTCTCTCGCCAGCATTATATCTTTGTTTGTTCAGCATTTTCTTTAAAAAGACTTATTTTAGTACAGTGTACAGTATATACAGTGTATGTTTTTTTTAAACATTTCTTTATTTACAAGCATCTTTCAATGACAAACAACAAGAGTTGAAAAGTAGGTGTATTTTGGGGGGAAATAGTACTGTCACATACAGATGTACAGTACATACGTGGAGGATAGCTTTGCAAACCTTGAAAAGGCAAAAAATATATAATTACATGTATGAAAAAGAAATATGATGTGTACATGTAATTACACTTTTTCCAACCAACAGTCATCATGCCAGTAGACCGATTTGATACAAATTGTATTCAAGTTGTATGTATTTATGCTTTGTCTTCTTCTTTGTAACGATGGTTACTTGTGAAGACCATCTAGTTTGCTGTGAGCTTTCCCGACATATCAACATGATCGCAATCCCCCTTCCGGCATATATATGCAATATTAATTCTTTGTCTTTGGACACAACAAATATGCCCACTCTACCTGTATGTATATTAGAGTAAGATGAAAGAATCAGTGACAAATGTAGCAGAACAGTTGAGTATCATAATTTACCTACAGGTGAGCATATAAAGGTCAAAGGCATTATCAATTTTGTATAATGCATGAATGCATTGGCTGCACTTCATATCAGTGCTGATGCGTTGCACGTACATATACTGATGCACCGTTCATGTACATGTACAAGTAAATTCGAAAATAGGTATGAAAACTATGAATATATTATATGCACCCCTTTTAATAAGCGCATTACAGTAGCCCCGATATGGGGGAAAACCCCTCTTAGAGCGGTGGCAATATTACTGGTGTTGATGACTTCTTGATCAGTGAGTGATTCATGAAATTCAGGCTTCCTGCGAAAAATAACAGCTTACCGGTATGCATTACAAGGAAAACATTGAGCCTAGCCATTTTCACTGCAGGCATACCAGGGGTGGTGATGTCAGGGGGGGGGGGGTTGCAGGTGGCATTTGGCTCTCCAGCAGCCAAATTGCAAATATGACCCCCCCCCCCCCCCCCCCTGCCAAAAAAAAAAAAAAAAAAAAAATCTTGTGCATACTTGTATGCCTCTTACAATTTCTCATACTGCTGCTAATACACTTTAACACCAAATTTCACAAAAGCTGCATTTTAAGTTTCATTATACATTCCATGACAGACAGGGTAAAAGTTGCTATTTATTAAGTATTTCTTAGAGTAGGTCTGATTCTATTAAAAAAGAGGAGATTTTCAGCTTTAGAATGATATGTTGCTCATTATTTGTGGATGTTCCTACAGTATTATGAAAAGAGAAGAATTGCCAGTCACAAAGATTGTTACTTTATGGAATGAAGGTGATCAAACTTTCATGTCTGTAAAAGCAAGTTCAAATATATGGCAATTTGGCATTGACCCACAGATTGCCAATATTTTCTTTACTTTTCAAACACCTTGTACATACATGTACATGTAGGTCAGTTCCGCTTATCTCTACGTGTGCGGCTGTGCGATAAAGTAAGTCTATTGAACTTGGGATTTATTTGTGAGCGATAATGACTCAAAACAACCTCGGAATCAATTCTTCTTTTTACATCAAAGAACAAGGATCTAGGAGTTTTTTGTATGAAACAAATGATGCCTGTTTGCATTCATTCATAACATGATGTATCCGCTCTTGTTGAGCCTGTTCATGCACATACCGGTATCATACTAAGCTGACAGCTTTGTGCATACAGCCTCAACTTGAGTACGGGATGCGGATAAATCGTTTAATGAACTCATTCGCATGCATTATTTGTACATGTATATTGTACAGTACATAAATGTATAGGGCTCATTTATGCCTAGAATTACATTGTAGGACAATCCTAAAAAGGGAAACTTGATACACTGTATATTGATATACAGATGTTCATATGTAGGTTAAACAAATAAGGTACCGGTACTTATGTAGATTGCCAGAATCTTTGAGTGGTTTTGTCGGAACAGATTTTGTAGTAGAAATTAAATTTTAACTTTGTACATACTGACTAAGTTTTGCTCAATTGAATAAAAATATATAGTTTTGTGTACATGTTCCTATATTTGTAAATACGGGGTAATTTAAAAAAACCTTTTTAATCTGTGCAATGATTTTAACTTAAAAGAGAAAGCAAAGCTTGAAGATTTGCTTTCTGTTCAATTTGATCAAAAATATTATTGATCAATTTGTTAAACCAGTCAGCAGTTTGGTATTTGGTTAAAATACTGTACACCTCGTGAATGTTGTTCCTGAAAGTATTGTCTGCATATCATCATTACTAGATTTGCCTAGAATATTGCCAGCCATAATGCATTTTATTTTATGAATATTTGTAGAGCTACATGAACATGTAAATGATCAGAATTATAGTTGTGGATCATGATCTTAAAGATACATGATGCATATCTTATAGAGGTGCAGTGGTCGAGTGGTAACGTCGCAGGACTGTCGATCACAAGGTCCGTGGTTCAAGTCCCGCCGCGGCACTAATGTCCTTTGGCAAGACATTGATCTACATTTGCCACACTCAACCCAGGTGATGTAATGGGTACCTGGCAGGAATTAATTCCTTGAAATGCTAGAGCGCCATAATGGCAGCACAGCTAAA